AATTTTTCAAATCAGTTCAGTAGTTTCGGAGCCTATTCAATACAAACAAACAAACAAATCTTTCCTCTTTATAATACTAGTATAGATACCGCGCCATGATCTTGGTATACCAGCTCAAAGTCATGAATAAGACCATGATCAATACAGCCGGTATCTATAGTATTCGTGCAATAATAATAATATTGCCACATCGGACCTAACATTACTAATGCTATTAACTATGAAACATCGTCGCGTCGTGTGAAAACCTAAAAGGGAACATTACGTTAGCGCCGTTCACAGAATGGCAACCGTAACGTAAAGAAAAACGAATAATGATCGACGAAATCGTTCAATATACCTACTCCGACGCGTTCCCACGGCGAATGAAGCTTAAACGGTGCAGGGCTGCCAAGCAAAAAGTAATTTCTCTTCTTATTTTTGAAATAAATTAGAATTGTTTCTTTTTTGGTTCTACTTTTTTAATCAGACGTATTTAGTATTTTACAGTTTTCGCTGGATGAATTATCCAGAAAATGAAGAGAGTTAGTATTTGAACAAAAGTCTGCAACTCGCAAAAGTAAAGGCATTAGTAATCTGAAGTGCTGAAACTAAAGGTAAACTGAAAGAAAAGGCATTAGCGGTAGGCAGGGGCTTGGCTCTGCCCCTGGCATTTCTGAAGTCCATGGGCGACGGTAGCCACTCACCATCAGGTGGGCCGTGCTCTCGTCTGCCTACAGGGGCAATAAAAAAAAAAAAAAGATGGAGATTCGAGTATTTTAGTGTTATTATAATGGTATCTGTGTGCTTAGTGCGAGTTATTTAACGTTCTCGATAGCGTACAAGTGAACTCAAATTTGTATGCAGTTGGGACGTTTGCTAACCGCTAGGGGCGCTGTTCCAACTGCAAACAAATTTAAGCTAACTTTTACGCTATCGAGAACGTTAAAAAACTCACACTAACTACACTGAAGTCCAGTCCACTGAGTTTCTCGCCGGATCTTCTCAGTGGATCGTGATTCCGATTCGGTGGTAGATTCAGTGAAGCACTGCCCTTGATAGGGCAGATGTTAGCAAACTCGTTAAGGGTGAGCTCTATCACCAGTTAAGGTGAAGCCAAAATAGCTACTTGAGGCTATTGGCAGAAAGGTAGGCGAAAAATATTTTGCTATTGTATTATTTGCCTGAATCCCGTCTACGTTTCACGGGTGCTCCGAATGCGGTCAAAATCAGAAGTGGAAATATGTTAAGTTAGTAAAGAAGATAAGAGTAAAGAAGTTAAAGATACGATCCGGTGGTAGATTCAGCGAAGCACTGCTCTTGCTAGGGCTAGCAGCACCCGTCCGTGCCTAGTTGGAATAGTCCCTTAGGCTAGTAAAGATTAGGTAGCGAAAAGTTAAGATAAAGGATTTTTAAGGCTTTATTGGTAATGATAAACCTAGCTCTCCACCAATATTTGGCTCTCCGGCAATTTTTGTTATTTCAAATTTCTATGTTGACCGGACTAATAACACTGAATACAAGAAGGATAGAGAAGTACGTAGCCATATTTATAAGATACTGGGCAAAGAATTTCAGGATACTTTGGCCCTTGGAATCTTCAGGGGAATCAGTGTGTAATGTGTACCACAACTAGGTTAACTGAATTCTGATTAGTCACTTTACTAATTTAGAAATATTACTTAGCCGTTGTCTATAAGACTATGACTATGGGTTCAAATACCACAGACACCCATCAATTTCACAGTATTGTAAACCTGCATGCGTCGGTATCATCGACCTGCCTATTTCCATCTAAAAATAGATTTTGAACCTCATGTCTCAAGGTGGGTGACGGTATTAACGTTGATATGTATGGGCATTTTTATAAGTAATTAACACTGGACGAGAATTGGATTAACCAAATACCATTTTTTTTTGTATTCCAAAAAAAAAATTAAATTCATAGCTATTTAAACCGCAAGCATTACCTACATTTATAAAAATACATAAAGACTTATATTTTAAAACACAAAATAATACCAAACAACTGCCTCTGGCGTTTGTCTATGGTCCACCTTTGTTGTCAGATGATTGATGGAGTTGTCATTGTCTGTGGGTCGTATCTTTGAGGGCTTCTTCATTATAGCTTGTATCCTGCTCACACTTGGAAGTTTTTTATATGCACGAGCGAGGCATCGAGAAGTAGTTTTCGAGTCGAGACTATGTGTTGTTTAGTTTGAGAAATGGACGGTGTTCGTGTTTTGATTCTGCTTATTGCTATTTCGTTTCTTTCCCGTGGCCATTATTTGGATAATTGAATATGGTTGTGCAGGTTCAAGGTATGTTTGTAATCGTTTTGGTCGTTAAGCAAATATTTGTATTATACAAGATGATTATCTGCTGTGTGAAAAGTTGGAAGTACTTAGATTTATGCTTGGTCCGCGCTACTCCTAAGTGGAATATGGGAAATAGGCTTTTCGAAGAGTGGCTGAAATCTCCCTTGATCCTATATTCGATTTTTTGTAATTTATTTTCGGTAATAGGGCTTAAATACAGGTATTAACATCACCACATTCTAGTAGCCTAGAGAAGCTATTCTACCTTCAGCTTTACTGGAAGGCGAACTCGCGTTGCTCAGCCTAAAATAAGTTCCTAACGTCTTTCATAATAAGAGCAGTTCTTCCCTGAATCTACCACCGGATCGGAATCGTCACTCACTGAAAATATCCGACAACAGTTCGTTGGGTTGTGTCTGATGATACCCACTAAACTATTTGGATGGTGAGCTTCTCCAACTAATTAGTGCAAAAAGTTATTATATAATTATTTATTGTCAGCGGTATCAGTATCGACTGTATGCTATCTAAATATAAATTTAGCAATACGATATATCTATGCTCAGATTGTTCTAATAGTATTGTTGTTCGTTCAATTTTCAACTTTAGGCAAGTTCTCTTAACGCTCTTTATTTAGTGTTTTCTTCGGTTTATCCGAGTCGCAGTCATAATCAAAACTACTTTTAAGGTTTTATCTCGCATTTATTTTTGACATTATAGTATTTCCTTACTTACTTACTTAATGGTAAGCAGCGGCTTGGCTCTGCCCCTGGCATTGCTGACGTCCACGAGCGACGGTGACCACTTACCATCAGATGGGCCGTATGCTCGTCTGCCTACAAAGGCAATAAAAAAAACTGTTGTTTCAATTCTTTTCAATTCAATACTTTTAAAAACTGTATTCGTGATTACGGACGACTAAGGTTTTTACATACCCTTTATTTATTTGAGAATAAATGATATCGATGATACTAGGTGCAATATTCCTCGGCAGAAACTTGGCACTGCAAATATTTCTAGTGTCGTATCAGATCTTAACACAACGTTAAACATAGTAATGAGTTAATGCTAATTAGGAAGAGAAAGCGCAGACGAAAAAACAAAATGCCGAGTAAGCCTTTCATTTATGTGCTTTTAATATTATATCATTCAGAGTTGTGACGAAATAATTAAAAGATGCAATAAACGATTTTACGGTTTCAGATTTGGTGTGTTTAAAATTAATTTTACGATTTTCGTCGTTTTTTTTTTATTGCTTAGATGGGGTGGACGAGCACAGCCCACCTGGTGTTAATTGGTTACTGGAGACCATAGACATTTACGACGTAAATACGCCAACCACCTTGAGATATAAGTTCTAAGGTCTCAAGTATAGTTACAACGGCTGCCCCACCCTTCAAACCGAAATGCAATATTGCTTTGCGGCAGAAATGGGTGGGGTGCTACCCGCGCGGACTCACAAGAGGTCCTACCACCAGTAATAGTTTCGGTCGCGAATAGTTTTTATTGTGATGTGTTGTTGTTTTCAAAGCAAAAGGTTCAAAATTGAATTTATTTATGAATTAATAATAACAATAATTATCTCCTTACACGTTTGCGGTCTCATATCTCTAATTTGAATCGCTAAATAGGTCAATAGGTAAGTGTGGGTAGGTATTGGAATTCACATCGCTACATATGTACACGCCCAAACGATTCCTTTGATTGTATATCATCTGTATGCGAGCAATTAATCTCTTTGATGTAACGGCGGAAGGGTTTTATAAACTCGTTTCGAAAACCGTTTACGGGCCAATAAAAATCTCATCTTCCTTTGAGATCGGCTTATGGTCAGGCGCTGTTGAAGCGCGATAATCTTTTCGTTTCTTTCTGAAATAAAACTGAGAATTGATCGTTGTGGCGTAGATGTAATTTTTGTTCTGCTACGGGCAGTCTACGTTGAGATAATTTAGAAAAATATGTTTTCTTTTTTATGCCCTTGTAGGCAGACGAGCATACGGCCCACCTGATGATGAGTGGTTACCGTCGTCGTTTATGTATTTTTCGATACTTACGATGCGGAATTAGCTCTTCCCTCCTCAGGTTAGAGCCCCGTGAGCTCACCTACTCGTCAGGTTACGCTGGTATAACCCTCTAAGGCAGCCTTTCCCAAAGTGGGCGATAACACCCCCTTGTGGGCGCTGCAGGCCTAAAGCGGGGCGGTAAGAGACCCAGAAAAAAAATTGAGGCGCTGTATAGAGGCTTGGGAGGCGATTTATAATTTCATCTAGAAGGACTCTTAGATACCGACTGAGCTCTCGCTGCAGTGGTTTTTAAGTACCTAGTTGAAAAAGAGCGGTAGGAGCGGTAGATAGGAGCGCAAAAAAATAATTTATTCTCAAAGTGGGCAGTAGACAAAATAAGCATGGGAACCACTGCTCTAAGGTTACCTACTAGCTTAGGTAGAAAAAAAATGTCCTTCTGCAGAAACGTGTTAAATATATTTATCTTCGATCTATAGTGCTGAAAGTATCTCAGCAAACCGCATATGCTAGATCAACACGACTAAATTGAATTTGCAATTTGTTGAAGGCACCATAACAGACGTATCGTGAAGTCGTCGGCTCACGATTGCTGCATGACGTGCCAGCAATTTTGAAGATTGCACGTAAACCGCCCCATTCTTCCAGCTTTGGCTAATAAAGAAAAAATATTTTTCTACAGATGCCGTTCAGAGGTTTGTCGAGATGCCATCGTATACGGAGGTGAATCCAGGGGAGGACGCTTTACTCAAGTGTCGGATATCAGAGAAGAGAGGTGTTTGTTCCTGGCAAAAAGATAATAAGGTAAGATTGAATAAGTCTTATCGTGATTTTTTCGCAGATCAAAGTATGACTGACTAAAAGGGAAAATTGTAATCTTATATATGTAGTATTAACTTCGGTTTTCGCGTCGTCCGTGACCACGAAAACTGTATTCGCAGCTAGAAATGAAATAATAGTAGAATCTACTGGAAGAGATTTCAACATGAAATAAGTAATGCCCTTGTACTCTGTATCCTTATTGTCGTGTTTCTTCTAACAGCTGTGTGTACAAAATATATTAAATAAATAAATAATAAAAATAAAAAATGCGTGATTAAACTGTAACAGTAGTTTTAACTATTACTTTATTAATTATTAGTTAACGCATTTTTAAAACAAACATTGTACGGAAATATGTAAGCTTACGTTACGTTTCATTAGAAATGTTCTCATTAAATACTCGTTAATATTTATCCCTGGACTAAATTGTAACATGAGTAAATTAAAAAACGTGATTCCTGTTTGTGACGCGAAATGTTGGAGGTTTGAAATGGTCGTATTAAAATCGTCTTTGCCTTTGTTGTTTTGTGGTGAAGTTTCAATAGAAAGGAAATCGTTTTTTGTTATTTTTCATAGATTTGTGTACACGTTCGTTTATTTTGGGTTTCCTAAATGAGTCTGTTCGAATTTATTTTGTGTTGGCTAAAGAACTAGGTGCGTGTGTAACAGGTCCTTTCCGCGGGTAAATTTCTATTTATATCAGCGCCCTGCCTATTTCTGCCGTGAAGCAGTAATGCGTTTCTATTTAAGAGTGGACAGCTGTCATACTATAAATCGTGTAATTCATGTGGCAAGGTGGCCGTCAATGGGCTTCGGAAATCACTTACCATANTTTGAAATGGTCGTATTAAAATCGTCTTTGCCTTTGTTGTTTTGTGGTGAAGTTTCAATAGAAAGGAAATCGTTTTTTGTTATTTTTCATAGATTTGTGTACACGTTCGTTTATTTTGGGTTTCCTAAATGAGTCTGTTCGAATTTATTTTGTGTTGGCTAAAGAACTAGGTGCGTGTGTAACAGGTCCTTTCCGCGGGTAAATTTCTATTTATATCAGCGCCCTGCCTATTTCTGCCGTGAAGCAGTAATGCGTTTCTATTTAAGAGTGGACAGCTGTCATACTATAAATCGTGTAATTCATGTGGCAAGGTGGCCGTCAATGGGCTTCGGAAATCACTTACCATAAGATGGGCTATGAACTCGTTCATATATCATACAAAAAAAAATCAACTAGCACTTAGTCGCAACCCAATCTAAAACTCCACATTGTGATTTCCGATCTTAAAATTGAAGGATTGGAATAGCAGTTATCTTAGAAATCAAACTGTGCCATAGGACCGTTTCGCGATCGAAAATAGCTGCAAAGTGTTACATGTCCATGGCTCATATTGATAACATAACCAGTAAAGGTACGACCATTTAATACGCATTAAGAACTTCCTTGCTTCCTAAGAACACCCTAATACGTTGGTCCGACCAGATCCGCATCGCTCTTGATTCCACATTTCACAACTCCCTCCACACCGCCAAGAATAGATGGAGAAAGATCGTGCTTGCGAAGGTTATACAAAAGGGTTGCCACGCCCCTCAGCAGTGAGGAATATGACGCAAGGTGAGAGAAGAACTTTCTCCTACCTGAACTCGGTTAAAATTAATCGTCTTTCTATCTAAATGTTTAAAATTTAGTTCCATAAAATTTTAATAAACTGTACTAAGGTAAAATGCAAGTTTTGTAAGCCCACCTACTTTATTTTTAATCAGATCATCCGGTCTTTCAAAAACTAGACGAGAGCTACCTAACTTAGTTAATTTCTTAACGAATACTTAAGGCGCAATTCATTCTGTTTTAGATAAGATCCATCGGAGCAAAGTTAAAGCATTAACATGTAATGTTTTTGTTTTAGCGTTCCACTTAATTATTTATAGTCAATCAAAATAATTCTTTTTTTACTCGGTGAGCACTAGTTAGCGCCGAGAGTCGTGGGTTCAATTCCGACATCGGGCAAACATTCGTGTGATGAACAGGTTGGTTTGCTCTTTTTTTGGCAGCTTATTATCTATATATTTAAACTTATTATATATATAATATCTATATGTATATGTATATTTATATGTATGTACAGGCAGCCCTAATTCGGGGCCGGGATGTGACCATGCGTTATTTGTTCTGAGTTATTATTATTACGGGTTGTGGACATACCTAATTAGATATATTTATACGATTTAAATATCATTTCTGATGTTTCGTATACTTTACAATTTTCATTGTCACAGACGTCTGTTGGTTGGTAATAATGACAATAAATAAAACGCAATATTAAATCGTAAAAATTTTCTAAGAAAGGAACAATAAGACTGCTATAATTAGGATCCTTTACCACTACAACTCCCGCTGTCGGTTCAGAATTCGTACATACTATCAGAATCAGATGATTTTATCACATTGTGCATTTCGGTATAACGTTTTTGCGTGTTATATAACTTTGGAATGAATTTGTGCGCGCTATATTACGTACGTCTTCCTTCACACATACTCTGAGAGTCCTCAGCGAGTTAGCTGTGCTTCTAGCATTGCCGTTGTCCTTGAGCGACGGTTATCCTTCAAAACGAGACGGACCGCAGAGAGCAGCTTTCTTTAAAAAAATGTTAACAAACTCAAATTCAAGAATTCAAAATAAGACGTTCACAACGTATTTATTACGCAAGCTTTTTTCTTGTATGAAAAGGCTGATTTTATCCGAGCGCGGACGGGGAACACAATTTTCCCTATAGGCTTTTAGGTAGGTTTATCGTAAAGACCGAGAAAAAAAACACACACACACACACAGAAAAATGTTTGTATACGACGAAGGCAAAAAGAAAATTTACTTGCTCGGTATGTGAATAGCTGACAAAGTGATATTGAAGGAATTACTTCAGTGTCGATTTTGCGTCGGAAACGCTAAAACAACAGCAGGGGATGGTTTTGATAACGTAAATGTGAACAAAACTGATCCGTCCAAAGATTATTCGGATTGAAACGTTTATGCGTTATCTTTCGTGAATTCTATGTTTTGGAGCAACAATGAGACAGCGATAGCGTAGGGCACCAACGAGTAAGTATCTCGATCGTAACTATTTAGGCAGTGGAGCAGTCATTGTTGTCAGGGCCTATATTACAGCGTGAGCGAGACCAACCTTGAGACATGAGCTCGAAGTCTCAGTTGTATTGAGATGACGGTTCTAATACCCTTTAATGTGGGAGGCATTGGACATGACACATACTTCAACTAAAGTTTATTTTCTTATTTATGTGGACAAGCTCACGGCCCACCTGTCGTTATGTGGTTACTGGAGCCCATAGACATCCACAACGTAAATGTTGCCACTTAACTTGAGATATGAGTTCTAAGGTCTCAGTTTTAACAGTACAACGGTTGCACGGCAGAAATAGACAGGGTGGTGGTATCTACCCGTGCGGACTCACAAGACGCCCTACCACCAGTAATTACGCAAATTATAATTTCGCGGGTTTGATTTTTATTACACGATGTTATTCCTTAACCGTGGAAGTCAATCGTGAACATTCGTTAAGTACTTATTTCATTAGAAAAATTGGTACCCGCCTGCGGGATTCGAATACCGGTGCATCTCTAGATACGAATGCACCGGACGTCTTATCCTTTAGGCCACGACAACTTCAACTACTTCAACTAAATATGAATAACTACCCAGAAAATTAAATGTGTCATAAATTTAAAAGCACAAAACTATCTCACGTAATCTCATTTTACACGTGTTTTAAAATTACGAACCAAGTTAACGTGTTTCACGTTAAACCACAGATTCGTGCATCCACTTAAAAAGCTATAAAAGTAAATTGCAGCTTTCTAAGTAAAAGCTCGATTCACGGCCTTGTGGTGATAAACGGGCACGTGTGCTGAATAATGATACAATCAGCATTAGATTTTTTTTCTCGGTAGGGCTGGCACTGTATTCTGTTCCCGCATTGTCGCATGTCGAGCCGTTATGTTACTAGCTAATGTTGGCAACCTTGAAAGAAGATTTTTTTTAGTCTAAAGAGCAATGGTAAATTTACGTACATATATTAACGTTTTTCTTGTAGGGTTATAAAAAAAAAAATATTTCAAGAATTCGAACAATTTTTGTTTTTATGTAATCATTTGAAGTTCAATGACCTCAAGCCAGGACTATGTACTGTATGGATCTGTATGGATGGGTGCAAGAAACACACACACACAGACATCAACGAAGTACGAAATATTTGTAACAGAGGTTCCGTTTTCAACTGGGCGTATATTTCGGGTCTTGTGATATAATATACCGTCGCCAGTAAATCCTACGTCAAAGAGATGATCAATCATGTTTTACCTATTAATTTTTACATAAAAATCATAATATAAACTTTCTTTAGTTTTCGCGAATCGTAAACAAAAATTCAAACTACTTTTACAGGTTTTTTTATTGCCTTTGTAGGCAGACGAGCATACGGCTCACCTGATGGTGAGTGTTACCGTCGCCCATGGATTTTAGCAATGCCAGGGGCAGAGCCAAACCGCTGCCTACCGAGCCAAGCCGCTGCCTGTTTAACAATTAAAAAAAAACGCGAGATATAAACAGTAAAAGTGGTTTTATTTTTATTATTCTTTATTGTACACACAGTTAATAAAATATAATAATTGTGAAAAGTTATAAAATGGCGAGCTTAACTCAACAATTGAGATATCTACCAGCTAACCGTTTTTAAAGAGGGTGAGCTTTACATAGGTAAATTGGCCGTTATTGACCGTATATTGAGCTTTAATTGACCTTAGTTGATTTTGAACTTCAAAAGCATGGATATTGTATTTGTTTCTGGACTAAAATATTCTCATATGATGTCGTTGTTTATTTAATTCAATATACGCTGATAGTTGATACGCGTATTTGCTTGTGGCCGTACCACAATATAAGCCGGCGTGTTTCGTTATCATCCTGCCTATTTCTAT